TATATTATGTACAAATGTTTTAACTACAATAAGTATTTATTAGACGTAATTTAGTTTGAATATTGATATAGGCGAAGAGTTGCACAACAGTAACTTTCTAGGCGATGGGGTGCGGCTAAAACTTAAAATTTTAAACTCGTTTTTTTTTTCACGCATTAAGAAGATCATAAATAACTAATTTCGTTTTTTTCGGCCCACCCTATTGGGCACACCAAAATATGATGACTTAAAGCAATTTACCTCTATACCAAGTTGTACCCCTAAGGAGTTACAGAAGTCTAAAGTAAGGCCATAAGTTTTGAAAAAATTTTATATTTCTGCACCTGTTTAACTTAAAAATCTATATTTGGTAAATTATTTAAACGCTTCACGAGTTTTAATTTGGAGGTGAGTGAGAATTAATTACCATATTTCAAGGTTTTTTTTTTGGTGTAACCTACCCTTATACAGAACTTTTTGTCATCCTGGTTACCCCAAGACCATTCTTTAAAATATTTCGATTAATTCTTACTCACTTCCAATTTAAGATTCATGACGCGCCTAATAAATATAGATTTTTAAGCTAAATGGTCATAGAGATATTTCGAAATTTATGGCCTTAGTAACTCCTTAGGGGTACAACTTGGTATATAGGTAAATTGCGGTAAATAACCATATTTTGTGTTCTCAACATGAACCTGTTCTGTGTCGTTACTTATGCGGAACACCCTGTATATTTATGTATTATGTGTAGTTATAATTTTGTTTATCATTGAATTACTGTATTTCTTTCAGAAAAAATGTAAAATTTGTTAAACGGGGTATTAATTTAAAAACCTATAATGGGCTATATCTCCAGAACAAAAGAAAATATAAAAAAATTGCAAAAAAACGTTTTCCGCAAATCGATAGGAAATTTTGACATTCCAAACAAAATTTCTTAAAGAAAAAGTCAAGATTTCCTGTTAGTTTAACAATTCAACATTAATACGTTTTCATAGTAACGCAACCAATTTTATTACGAATTTCAAATCACCATTTATTTGTAAAAAAAATTATTCGCGATTTTTTTAAAATTAATTAATATCTATTGAATTTTGAACGATTTGCAGTAAAATAGTATGTTTACCTCGTAGGAAAAGCCACATTCCTGGACTATGTGTTGCTAAGTCTTGGCTTGCTCCTCGACTTAGCGATCTTCACAGTCGTCCAGGAATGTTAGACTTTTCCTAGTTGGTAAACAATAATGTACTATTCTAGGATACTCACTTATATCAACCGACTACGCCATTCCTATTCCAACTAAAAAGTTTAAATAGCAATATTATGTGTTTGTTTGGGTTTCTTTAAAAATTGATGCAAACCGTCCGAGAACCAGTGGAACAGTTGAATTCCAAATTATTCGTCGCATACATTTATTAAACTGCCCACTGGTCAACCAGTCCTCTGATAGTTCTAAATGTATTTTTGAAGAATCCGAACATACCTTATTAGAAAGCCAGTAAAACATGGTCTCTATTGATATAATAAATATTTACACATGGTTTAACAATAATTAACACACCTTAATTGATAAACAGAAGGACTCATAAACGAAAAATAATAACTTTAAATTTTCAACAAATATTAAGCTCTATAAGGGGACAATGTCTATTGATTTAAACAAAATTTTTAAACAAAATAGGGAGTTAAGGGGGCGTTGAATAATTAAAAAAATACTATACCCAAACAAAACGACACATATTAAATTCTTCAAGAAAAATCAAGTTGAACGAATGGCACTCGGTATTTCATAATTACGAACGAAGGACCAGGATTTCTTCCAAAAATATATTAACATAAATTTACAAATGAACATAACTTAATAGTTTAATTAAATTGATGAAAAATGCAATGGAATGCGCGAAATTACTTTTATTTTTTTACGTGATATTTTGGTAACTTTTCTTTGACGTTTTCTTCCTACCTAGGTCTTTTTTATATTTAAAAAATAAGGTGTAACCTAGTAAACTGCTCGAAGTTTATTAGGGAAGAAAATGAATAACAACTAAAACTATAAGTACGAAGCTATTTTGGAACCAAAGAGTTTGGGACCAACCACAAGCTTTATAAGGGGATGAAACCTAATGATTCTAAAAAAATTTGATTGAAAATGTGGGTTAAGGAGGAGGTTTGTTGAAGAGTATAATATAGAATGCCAAGAAATATATACCTTCATTCTAGTTTTTTTAGTTGTGGTAGGTAAACAAATTCTCTCATTTTAATTTTCTTCTCCTATTCTAGAGTTAAACAATTTTTCCTATTTTATTTTGTTCAGAACATTGCCCATTGTAATTTTAATAATTGACAACCCGGATATAGTGCTAGCAAGATAAAACTTTGCAGCCTGCTTCGCTTGTGTTAAAGTAAATAATGCTGTTATACCTATCACAGGTCGAGTAACCAACGGTAGCATTGCTATCTTTCCAGCACTGTATAATAATAAAATATTAAATAAAATTGTACATATAAATGTAAATACTTAACAAACTTATTTTACTTTTCTCAATTGTCAAAAATAGTTTTCCCTTTTATTGTAACGTTTTATTATCCTAAGATTTTAAAGATACGTTGGGCGCTAATTATATAGCGTTAGACTTTACAAAAAAGAATTGAGTCGCTATACTTTGCTTACGGCTAGTTCAACACACGACTACTCGGGCGATGGGTGCGGATTTTCACTATTAGCTAGACGTTAAGTGGCAGACACTGTACTGGGCGCCACTGCATCGATTAAAGGAAATAAGGGATACAGAAACCTATGTAAAAGTATATCTGCTTAGGAGAAATATAAACACTTATATATAAAGAGATGTCTTAACTGTAAACAACTAAATCAATGACAAGAGAGGAGAAAACTCAAAATATTATTCAATAAACTAAATTTATTAATGAAGAAATCTATGGACGATATCTATATATGAAATAACTTTTTTAAAGATACATAAAAATTTAAAGATAGAACTGCATCAGTTATACATAGGGAAAACATTGAGTTCTATATTAAATTGTTTAACAAGTCTCAGTATATCAATGACTGAAGGACATTAATAAATCAAAAACAGATATGCTTGTTAAATACAAAAAGAAAGTCAAGTTTTGATGCCTAATACCAGAGGAGCATAACTATATCCTACGTTATAGAAAAATCACAAGAACCTTGAGTTCAGATTGAATCTTATAGGATAATATTAATAAACAAATTAAGTTAAATATTCTGGTAATGTATACTCTGTACAAAATACCTAATTAAATATAAATATAAGGGATACTCAAAGTACGGTTAAGTTGATTTTCTAGGATACAGATCTATACCTGTGGTGTACAAAAAGACATTTGTCTTTTAGGAAATATAAATGTTTTATACCATACAAAAAAAAAATACTTATGAAATGAAAAATACATATGCTACGTTCTAGACTTAAAAAGTGTAGCAGAAAAATCGTAATAAGGTTAAAATAAAATGAGTCTCACTGCGTTACGTATTATTAAAAGGAAATTAAAAGTTCTTATGAACCACACTGAAGGTTGTCTTGATTTACATATGCCTGGATAGGGCATAATAACTTGTCCACTCCATTGAAAAGTACAGGGGACTGTTCACCAACAAGGGATGATCGCGGTCTGTAGTGTCTTTTGTCCTTGCCTAGGTAAGCCGGTGCGGGAATGCAATATGTTCCTTCTTAAACCTCTAGGAACCACAATAAAACTTAAAATTCCGCAGGGCATTACTCCTTGAGTAATAAAAGGAAAACATCATGTGCCAAACAGCCTTCAAAGCAACAATTATTTGCTTAGTGGCCACGTCCTAGACCTGGACCAACGCTAACAGCAAGATAGAGGACAGCAAGATGGAGGACACCAACGTCCACATGGGTGTGTCCTTCATGGACAGGAAACTCACCGGTACAGTTAAATTTAGGACCCTAATAAGGTTCATTTATTAATAAGTATAGAAGAGGAATTATTAGGCTGAGGGGCACCATGTTAATTTTTATTAATAAAGAGTTTAAAAGTGAATTTATTTTTAATTTTATAATTCCTGCTATACATGATAGTAGTCACAACCAAAATAATAGATACCAAATGTAACTTACTGAATTTAGGCAACACCCAATACAATTAAGATGTATTGTGAATTGTTGAACATAATCATCGTACTAGTAAATTTATATATTCCAATATGTTATTATATTTATGTTTCTTTAAAATCTTAGGATAATAAAACGTTACATTATTTATATTTATGATAATTATGATTATTTCAAATACTCTGTTGACGATTTTTAAGAAAAAAAAACATATGTAAAATATGTTATTTTTTGTCCAGTGTTTAGATATATTAAGATATACTCAAATATTTTTAAATTATTATATTCATCTTATACATACATAATACATTATGTCCATCTATTGAGTTACTAGTGGATACTTCAGCCTTAGATGCTAAGTATTTTATATTCATTTCAATAAATATCTTAAAACTCATTTTTAAATATAGATGAAAATGCAACTTTACTAAAGTTAATAAAAATAAGCAAATACATAAGAATCACCACTATGTACCAGACCAAATATTTATACAAAATTATAAACGATGAAAACAACATATAGTGTGGAACAGCCAAATGGAATAAATTCGGTAATAAATGAATAGGGACGTATTCGGAAAAACCCTCGGACATATCGATTGGTATTTTTAGTTTCGCATTTTTATTTACAAAAACTTTTTATACGGGGTATCTCATGTAATAGTAGTCAATACCAACTTTCTTATTTTAAATGCAATATCCTATATATTTTTCAATTTTTGGATTCTTCAGAAAATTCTAGACATATTTTGTGTACTATGTCCTATACCTAACTGTTTCGGAAATAATAAATGTTTTCCAATTTTTTGCAAAAATTAACATTAACAAAATAAAATTGTTTGAATACAGAAATTCGCTACAACACACTCGATACTTATTTCCTATTTAGGTCTTGATAATGAGAAAGTAAGCAAAAACCATATCAGCGTTACTGATATGAAATAAAAAAAGCTATACTTAGTTTTGTTTACTTTTGTTTAAAACGGCTGACCTTAGCAAATTGTTATTTGACTAAATGACAGTAGTTGTCAGTGTTATAGTCGTTTGAATTTCCTTAACTGCATATCAGAAAAATGATTCATTTGACAGAAATGCACAAAATAACAATTCTATAGATGATTGGTTATGGAAGTTGCTCACTTGTTTCATGAAAAATTTCAAAATTTGCTGCGTATATCCAAAGGGTCTATTAGTTAACTAGATAAGCAGTTTCGCGAGCTTTGACATGCAAGGCAAATAAAAAATACAGCTGCCATTGCAATAAATAATGTTACCAAATTGGATATAATGCTTGAGTATCAGGAAAACCCACATACTTCTAGTCTAAAAGCAGTCCCAATATTCGATATTAGCCATTCATCGATTATTCAAACATTAAAAGAAAATAAAATGCATCTCTATAAAATAATATGGAAGACGATTTTGATAAGAGAATGCAATTTTATGAACAAATGATGGCAACGTTAGATAATATGGTGATTCAATTAGAACATGTTTTATTTTCTGAAGAGTGTACTATTACACTTCACGGTCATGCTTATCGTCAAAATTGCCGGAATATCCTCACTGGATGAGACAAGAACATATTCAATACCCTGGAAAGGTTAATGTTTGGGCAGGAATTGTTGGTTATCATATCATATGTCCCTTTTTTATTGATAGAAATTTGAGTGGCGATAATTATTTAGCACTGCTCCAATATAATATCGTGCTAACTTTGTCATACTTATATCCCGATTCTGCAAACCCACAAGTTCCAGTAAATATGATATTGTTTCAGCAAGACGGAGCAACGCCCCATTGCCAAATCAATGTCTGGCAGTACCTCAATCGAGTATTTCCAAATCGGTGGATAGGGAGGCGAGGATTGATGGAATGGCCAGCACGATTCCCTGATCTGACATCATTAGACATTTTCTTATGGGGAAAATTATTGTATACAAAACTAAACCCTCGACCTAGCTGCTGATTTAAGAAGACGAATAATGCTTGCAATTAGATCGGTCACGCCTGAGATATTGAGTAACGTTAGAAGACATTTTTTAAGCATTTTAAACATCTCCTACATTGAGATGTATTTTTTGTTACATTATCAAAAAATAAGCAGTATTACTCATTAATTTTTGAGTGTGTTGTAACGAATTTCTGTAATCAATTTATTTTATTTTATTATTGTAAATTTTTGTAATAAATCGGAACACATTTCATATTTCCAAAACAGTTAGGTATAGTAAAGTTTGTATTAACCACTGTAACATGACATATTCTTTATAAATTTTTTTGTTAAAAAAGTGCGCAACTAAAAATACCAATTGACGTATCCGAGCGTTTTTCGGAACACGCCCCCATTTTTTTATTACCGAATTTATTCCATTTGGCTGTTCCACAATGTATATTTACTATATGAAACCAAACCTGACAGGGGTAAAAGTCAATGCAATAACAAAATTAGGAAATAAAGCACAAAATATAGTATTATTATGATACTCCTTGATCGTCTGATCTAGGTCTTGACGACTTTTAACCAGGATACAAATTTTAGAATTAAAATCTAATCTACAAACGTTCCCTAAAGTTAACTGTAAGTTATGGATTAGTCAACTATAGAATTGAGCGATATTTCAAAAACTGTCAGATATTTTTAAAAGATTTGGGGGTCTTCTAAGGCCGTAATATCCAGGGCTTAGCAGTTGATATTGTTTGCCCCTGGACCGACCCACTATGAATATTAAGGATTGCTCGAGTCCATGATATTCCAACCAGGGCTTATAGTGTTCTTTATTTATGTTTCATTAGCACCTCCCTAACATGTCGATATAAAATATCACATGTGGGTTCTGGTCCAGTGAGAGTCTTCTTAGCCCGCATCCTGAATAAGACATCTGCTTTGTCGTTTCTCTACACTCCCTCGTGTTTCGATACCCCCTCAAGATTGATCTTATTATGTACTACCAGATCCTGGAGTAGTTCTTTAAGGGGATATTTCCGTTACCAATGTGAAACTATCTAGGGTCTATTTGGTATTTATACATGACGATCGCTGTCACCAGTGTAGCAGATAGTTCAAAAAAGGAGGTGGTATTTCAGATCCATACCTCCAAATGGCTACCACGTTATCTATAATAATAGAAGATTAACCGTTGTCTGTAGAGGTGAATTAACCACTTCATTAACTTTAAAAATAGCTGGTATTATAATAATAGTTATAATTATTAAGTAGGATAGCGTTTTTTATTAGCCAACTGAATTATTTTTAACCGACTTCAACAAAGGAGGAGGTTCTCAAAGGAAGGGGCTACTTCAGGGGTGGTCCCATATAAATTTGGTCAAAATCTAATAATTGGATTCATGAGAAAATCCTCAAATTTTTAATTTTTTATGTATGTTTAGCGATAATGCTTTACCACATTGTCCGATTTATATAATTATTTTTTTATTAGTAAGGGGGTACCTCAGGGGTGGTCCCATATAAATTTGAAGTCGGTTTTTTTAAATTTTTAATTTCTAATACTTATTTACTGTCTGTTAGGAACGAGTGAATATAGCTTAGATGTCCGGTAGAAATATATCTTTGGACAATTTTTTCTGCTGCTTCATTAAAATGACCCTTCTGGTTTTTAGGGGTGACAAGATACTTGGTGTTGGGGGATCATTGGTAAATGAAGTGTAGACAGCCGAACAAAGTAATTTTAGGTTCAACAGTAAACAAAATGTTTAGTTAAACAGAGTTAAAAAAAATGTACCTAAAATAATTACCAAAAATTGGAAAGTAGTGTAACTACGGTACCTACCTGTTTTGCTGCCTTTGAGAATAAACCGGATTTTCTAAATACATAAATAAAAAATATGTGTTAAAAAGTAAATAGAAAATAAAAATAAACTTTTCTACTTTTATATAGATGACTGGGTAATAAAAATGTACCATGTCCTAAAATTGTAAAACACTAGTTCTAATCAATAACTAGAGCTATAAGCAAAACGGTAAATAAGAAAAACTGACATTCTACAAAATATTCTATCAAGCAATAATTATTGGGGATTAATAACCAAAAGTTGAACACTGGCTTTATTGATATATAAACAAATTGATTAAAATATTTAGCTTACAATATTTAATAAAAACATACTTAACAGTAAATGAAAAATAGTTGTTATCGTTTACTATTAATATTTTGTTATTAATAAGTTAATTGGCTATTGACCAGCGACTCGGTCTTTTGCTAGATTTGTGTTTTAAAATAATTTATATTCATGATATAATTAATTATCTTATTACAGTTTAGTAAACTCGATGTTTGTGTTCTGACTTTCCTATTTATGTAGTTTTTCATATTTGACAATATAGTACTCAGGTATTAAAGCTATCGTCTTCATTTTGGACCAGTAAAACTCCGTCGTCTGAAAATTATTTATTGCCTAACAAGTTAGGGTTTTAAGGTAATCTCTACTGACTTACTCCATAAATATGGTTAATATATGATTATACCAACTGAATTACGTTAGACCGAAATAACTCGATATTGGGTAATTTGTAGCAGCTAAATTTTTTCACATATCTTTATTTTGTCATTACAAAGTTGGATAGAACCAAAAAAAAACTGGAGCAATTACAGAAGTCTATTTAGTTTATAAGGAATAAGTCGCTTACTAAATATCTTACGTCGTTTAAAGCTATTTAAATATTGTAGCTAATAAAAATCTAAAGATTGGTAAAGCATTTTTTTTTTCGTACGATAAGCCGTTTTTGAGACAGCGCAGAGTATAGCACATAGGTAATTATAATAACACATTATGTTTAATTATACTGTGTATACATATATGGGTCCAAATATAATTTTTGGTAATTTGATCGTCTTCAATTTATGTCAATTCAATTTAATTTAATTTACATATCGATTCGAGAGATTTACGAGTAAAAAGTGATAATGACGATGTTGCCAAACTCATTGAATGGTTCACTCTAAAATCCTTTTTAAAATGGTAATGAGATAAAAGCTGTTAAAATTGGACTAGAAATAAAACTTAGGCGTGAGGATATTTACAAATATCCAGTGACTGTTGATGCGCTCCTTCTTTTCTAACGAAGTTCTGCAAATAAACTATTTTGTAAAAACTTCGTTAATAATATGCAATAAGAACTCAGCTCATATCCAATAGCGCTGTTTGATAATATGGAATGCGAAAGACAATGAAATCAAAATTGTATAATAATATCGAGCCTGTTGATGTTGAACTGGATCATGGTAATTTGAGATACATTATCGATGGACATTTTCTTTTGCATCGCATCGTTTGGAATAAAGATTGATCTCAACCGCTATGTACATTATCTAAAAAATCATTTTGGTTAGAATATTATTGTTGTTTCTGATGGTTTTTCCAACACTAAAGGTATCAAAGTAATGGAACAGTCGAGACGAACCACTGCTCTTTCATCATCATATGAAATTAGTTTTGATGTAACAATGGTTGTGCCGATTGCTCAGGAGAAGATTTGGCCAACTAGTGTAACAAAAAGAATATATTTCCTAGTTGTAATAAACACATTCTCTTATAGCACGCTTTTAGTAGATGTAAATAGCACTTTTGCGATGTTACGCAAAGGCAAAGTTCGAGCTAACAATAAAAACAACAACAACAACAACAACAACAACAACAACAACAACAACAACAACAACAACAACAACAACAACAACAAAAACAACAACAACAACAACAACAACAACAACAACAACGAAACAATATTGTCTGCAACACCAAAAGAACTATTAAACGTATTTTTTTGTAATTGCAAGAGGAGTGTAGTGTAAAATGTGGTTTTAGGAATGCCTGTAATGTATCGCAATTTTTGGTTAATGCCAGGGCCAAGTATTAGACCGTCAGATAATGACATATTTTGCTGACTGTTTTTCTCTTTTCTGAGATTTCAGCCACAGAAAATTGTGTAAGTGTTGAGCTCACAAAATAAAAATTTGACGACCGTACGTGTGATAGGAATATGAAAAATTAATTTTCCTTTTGCCGAAAAAAATGGCTTTTTTTAAATATCTTATTTATGACATTTTAATACATTAACATATACTTATTACTTATTAAGAATCGGACACAGAACAACTGATTTTGATAAGATTTTTGACTAAAAATAAGATAATTAAAAGAAACATGCTTAGATAACATATTACTGGTTTTCGAAATAATAAAGATGAAAATTTAAAAATTGTTAACTGCTATAATTTTTTATTTCGAAGTAGAAATTAACTAAATTTGGCAAACATTATTGGTGTCATCAGATACACCTACCAGCAAAACAATAAGCTAAATTAAATTTACCAGTGGCGTACGACACGATTAAGTAACACTTACATCCCCTCTAAATTTTACGCCACTGTCCAAAAACTTATTTGGAATATAATTTTACATTTGATGTCTTTTATATAAATCATGTACACTTGTTGGGAACTCATGAAGTGCTTCGATTTCGAGCTATTTACACTCAGAAGTGGATATTTATCATTTTAATTTTGTAATTTTGTATTTTTTTATTAATTTCCAAACAAAAGTAAATGATTTATTTAAAAAACATGAAAAATTTCAAAATTATAGTCAAAATAAGTTTTCGGAGAGTGGCGTAAAATTTAGTGCCGTAAGCTACTGCCAAAGTTTATTAAACTGATTTTTGCTTATTGGTGTATGTATCTCTTATGACATCAAAAACGTTTTGTCAGTGCAATTTTATAAAAAAAAATCAAAACTACAAAACTACAAAACTACAAGACGACAAGGACGACAAGGACGACAAGGACGACAAGGACGACAAGGACGACAAGGACGACAAGGACGACAAGGACGACAAGGACGACAAGGACGACAAGGAGGACAAGTAGGACAAGGAGTACAAGGACGACAAGGACGACAAGGACGACAAGGACGACAAGGACGACAAGGACGACAAGGATGACAAGGACGACAAGGACGACAAGGACGACAAGGACGACAAGGACGACAAGGATGACAAGGACGACAAGGACGACAAGGACGACAAGGACGACAAGGACGACAAGGACGACAAGGACGACAAGGACGACAAGGACGACAAGGACGACAAGGACGAACGGGACGACAAGGACGACAAGGACGACAAGGACGACAAGGACGACAAGGAGGACAAGGAGGACAAGGAGGACAAGGAGGACAA